CTTTCGCGCATCTATAAATCACAACGCTTTTTCGGCTCACTGAGCCAACATATTTTCCTATAAATTGATCATAGAATTTTATTTCTCTTTATTAAGTACTACGTTTTAACGATTAAAGTAATCATGAATGAGCAATTTTTTTTTTTGTTTTCTCAACCTGGAACTGGCTCTCAAGGTGAGAGAATACCTGTAGGCTTAGATGGATGTCTCAACGATATTTTCTTAGAATAGCAAGCATCGAAATTAATGGAAAACTTTCGTGTGAAGGTGATTCCACAAATTTTTCCGGGTTTCCAATATTCTTTTTCCATCAATAGTGAATTTTCGCTCACATACGTACGTCATTTAGAGATAAGCACCAGTAGCGATACTGAAAACTTCCTCTTATCACTTTTTAATTATCCATGAACTCATCTGAGGAATCACCTTTACACAATTCAATACTGTGTTATAACATTAAAAATCCCACAGATTGACAACGAAATAATTTGAAAACAAAATATTATTATGACATGCTGCTGATGTTTTCGTGAAAAACTAAGAGAATTCATTGGAATAAAATAACCTACTTACGATAAAAATAAATAAGTGGAAATTATATACATGAACGTTGAACTAAATATCTAAACTTGATTCAAGCTGTGCCAAGTTGGATAGACTGGGGAATATTATGTTTAATCCCAACACTAAAAACTGCACCTTCATGCTGCGATGCTACCATCAGCACGCGCGAATAAAAAATTCAATAGTCATATTCTACGATTTTTTCTTCACGCGTGATAGATTTTAATAAATTTTTACAAAACTAATGAGCCAACATATTAAGTACGATAAACCTTATCTTCCTTCTGCTCGAGAGGAAATAATACTTCAACAGTTATAAATGGAAAATTCAATATTCTAACAAATACAACTAACTTCCATTAAAGAATCACATTAATTAGTTATAATTTTCGATTATTTCGTTGGACGTAAAAATGTTCAAGCCCATTTTCGGGATACTGAAGTCTATAAAAATCGATGAATCAAGAGCGATGTAAATGAGAACGACATTAGGTAGAGAATTCGGCACAGTGGTAGAAATAATTTAAATTCTATTTGGTAAATAACGTAGTTTGATTATATTTTTGATGAATGATGTTGGAAAATTGGTTGGTGGAAGTTGCCAAGTGCATACTTAATTATGCATGCTGGATGAGTTATGAAAAGCTAATTGAAACTCACATCAAAACGCAACAGCGCTGCTCATTCTGATTATCTCCAATGATGTCACTCGTGTTCCCCGAGAACCGGTGGAAATCATCAACGGTTAATTCGCTATCAGCTTTCGATGATACAGGCACTGGTACCCCATTGCCATTGGCATCAACAATAGTTGGTGTTGTGTGTCGGCTCTGGGCGCGTTGTTTCTTCAGATCGGACAACGATTTGACGAAAACTACAGACACGTGTATGTTGATCTTGCCATTAGCATCACTCTCAGCTGTGTATATCGGCTGTTGGCTGCCGACAGGCGAGTCTGGCCCTGTCACTGCCAAGGCAAATATATAAATCTACTGCTTCAAATTTTTATCCTTTTCTCAAACCCCTGATCCCTTGATTAACTAGAATCTCCTTTGCCAATTTATTATCCAGACAAATCATGCAGAATTTTTCATTCATTCTTGCATTGTTGACTCTTGTTTAATTTGAAAATTTTCCACTATAACTTGTGCCAGCCGAGATATACAGAACATTTTTTTATTTATCGTGATTAAATAACTAGTTCTAATTCGATATATTACTTATTTAAAAAATCATATCTACAGGTTTTATGGAGTAAACATTGCATATCATCTCTAGATCAATGGAATTACAAATATCGTGATGAGAGGAGTTGAAAAAACATTTTTTTGTACGATTTAATTAGTTGAATAACATACTAAGCAATTGAATTCAACACTGTTAGAATTTTTGTACAGAAATTTACAGTATCAAATTGATTTAAAATCAAGAAACTCAACATCAAATTTTTCATTAACCACTCAAAAAATTATTCAATGTAAATTTCACGAGAAATTTTCTAACAGTGACGTATACATGCAGATCTTTGGAATTTCATGCTCACAATAAAAAGCTAAAGTTTAATTTACAGATAGGCCCGAGTATCTGAACGAACAGACAAAAAACGAATTATCAAAATTGTTCAGGTCCAATACCAAGCAGATGAACTATTCAATCTTGAATGAATGATTCGAGTCATGTAAATATGATATTTCCCATGCCAAAAGAGCAATCTCACTGACAAAATACGCACTGAAGATATCCAAACATTACAACTCCTTAACGACTTTAGCAAAAGATACATTAATTAGTCTTCAGTGTTATTATAGAAACAAGAAAGTTACATAAAAAACTGACCTCGTAGATATTGTTTTTAAATTGATATAATTGTTTTTTTTGTTCGAGTGATTGAAGAGGGGTAGGCGCACGCATTTTTGATGGAAACAGAACAGAAAGAAAAGAGAGCAGGTGAATGAGTGATGGATATCTCTTGGATAAAAAACATTGAGGATATGTACACATAAATAAGAGTTCCTATTCGTATGAAAAACTTGAACATTTTTTTCTTTCGAATTCAAGTACAAAAATAAATAGCAGCATATGAAAATAATTCTTTCACTTGATTGAATTTCACGATAAATGACTGATTGATTTTATGGAGGAAAAAATTTCGCGAAGCTACCTGTTACCACAAAACCCTACAGAACCACAACCAATGCAAGCAATAAAAGCTTCCAATTATACCTGTATCTTTATCAACGTCTTCGTTAACGAATGAATCATTGTCTTTCCCTTCTGGTCCCCGACGTACTGTCAAAGCCGTTGAGTCTGGTTCATCCGCTTTAGCCTCTTGCGTGTTGGTGCTGTTCGAAGTTGGTGGATCCGTCGATGTTGGCCCTGCATAAGTCTGGAAAACAAGATTATCCAGGAATTACCTCATCAGATGATTCATTCGACAGGAAGAAGCATTACTTTTTCCTCGTAACGTCGTAAAAACCAAATTGCATCGTAAATTGTGCATTTTTTTCTGCAGTTATATCTTCTTCAAATCATATTAGCTGTTTGTTTTTGTTTTTTGTTGTTCTCAAAATTACCTGTTGCGCCTGTATCCTCAGCCTTGCCTCCTCCTGCGCATCCTTCTTCGTCGTCAGTACTTTATCCCTAATTGAAGTTCTCCTGACACTTTGTGTTCTCGTGTTTATACTCTGAGATCTTCGTATGCGTCTACTTTGTGCTTCGCGAAGTTTTTTGCTCTCCTGCTCAGTTTTTAACTCCACAATTCGCTCCCTGATTTCCGGGTCTTCACAAATATCTGGAAATTTTCATTTAATTTAATTTTTTTTTTTTAACATTCAGTTTTCCTTCTCGAAAAATCAAATCTGAGATTACCTGCTGGTGTCTCTTCGTGTTTATTTTTCGCGTTCAAATCCGCACCGTTTTGTACTAGTAGTTCGAGAACTTCCAACTGCAATAATAATTTTCATAAACTTTAAACAATTGATGAAGTTTTCGTGAGATCACATTTGGTCTGAGAGAAATCCATTGGGGGGGACACGAAAAGACTATAAATATTTTGAGGAAAGGATTTAGAAGTGATTGGAGTGTTTGAAAAAAATGCAATAGAAAGAGAAAGGATTGAATGACTCACGTGACCCCAGCAGGCAGCGGCGTGAACTGGTTGCCACTTATCGTTATCCTCCACGTCCGTGGAAACGTGCTGGTCCAAAAGGAACTCAACCACTCGTAGATAGCCATTGGCTGCCGCTATGTGGAGCTAAAATTATCGATTTCCCTAATTAGTTTCTCGCTCAACTTATTAAAGGAGAAAAGATAATTATCCACGTACGGGTGTTGCTCCCTGGTGATCTTTGTACTCCAAGTCTCCACCAACAGATGCTAATTTCTGCAGATCCACGAGCATTTGCATCTCAGTCGCTGCTCGAGTCTCGTCGATTAGCTCTTGTGTGACTCCTCGACTAGCCATTTCCCCTGATAGAATACAAAGTAATATACTCAGTGGAATTTTAATAATTCATCAAAGACTTCCACAATCAGTTGAAGAGAATTCAAAAAAAATATGAAAGCCCCCAATATTCACCTTCAATACAGTCCAATGTTTTTTCGTCTTCGCATATGTCATAAGGCATATTTCCATCGGCATTGACAGCCAAGAGATTAGCACCAGCAGCAATCAAGTACCTGACGAGATGAAGATGTCCACATGTGGCAGCTGCATGAAGTGGTGTCCACTTTTCACTATCCTCAGCATTGACATTAGCCCCAAACTCAGTCAACAGCTTCATCATCTCCTCGTTATCATCAATACAGCACTGGTGCAGAGCAGTGAGGCCGTCTTCATTGGTTGAATCAGGATTGACCCCCTTTTTCAGGAGCCTCCTCACCTCGTCTATATCGTTCCTGGCAGCTGCCTCCAGGAGCATCACCGAGTCATCGAAGTAAATGCCCCTCTTGTTGCTGGAGTGCCTGGTCTGGTGCCTGAGCCACTCCTTCTCTCGCTGCCTCCACACCTTCAACTGCTGGAGCCTCCGGTGTCTGGCCAAGTGGAGTCTCTCCTGGGTGGTCAGCCTCTCCACGTGCACCATCTCCGAAACAAGATCGGCGTGCTCCATGGCAATGTGCTTGTGACTCTTGCAGCTGTATTTAGCTGGCAAACAAGCGAACAACAATATTTATCACGTTCCACTCAACCATTCTCGTATTTGCTTCTCTATGCAAATTTAACTCAAATCGGGGGACAATTACCTCTCTCCTTACATATCCAGAAACCCATTTCTACCAATTTCTTTCTCGATAATTCACGCACTTGCGAATAAATATACGAAAATATGATGCAATTGAAATTTTACTGACGTGACTTTTTATGTGTCGAATTTATATTTATCCCCTTGCCCCTCGGAGGACAATATTTGCCCGTGTATTTCTTGTCGTTAAATAAAGTCAGTTGCCTCGAAAAATGGCAAACACCGACGATCGATGGAATTTTTTAAACTTGATTCAAGTACCTGACTGCAAAATCGCCTTGTCAGCGAGTTTAGCAAGACGCTTCGGACCCAAGTGTAGTCTACTCTTCATCTTTCCAGCGCATCCGAGATAATCGTTTAAGTTGGATAACCAAGAGATTATGAATAATAGGTACTCTTTTTTTATGTTTTAATGGTCCAAGTGCTCGTGAATTTGTCACTCAGTGGTTTCCTGGTATTCGCGTACATAATGGAGAGACTTGCCACATCAACGAGTCTACTGAAGAACATATTTGCACGATCTAAGCCTCTCCTGTCAGGACGTGTTTTATTACGCTGATAATTCACGAAAAACATTGACTCAATCATTACTCGACGCAATGAGTAATATTCTTCGATTCAATATATAAATTCCAGTGTTTTATCTATCGCTAAACACAAAATATTGGAATATTTTTTCCACCACTCGAGCACCTCCATTATTCATCGTGTGCAAATTCCCAGAAAAAAATCAGAAAATTGTGCACGGAGGGAATAGACTCACCCAGTGTTGTGTAATCAATGAACTTATCATGAATTATCATCAATCCTTATCTCACATATACTACATTCCATCGTGTCGAAAAAAATGTACAAACAATTGGAACTGCTACCTCCTTTCCCTCATTTTAGATTTTCTACTTCATTAAGCGAAACAAAAAAATTTACATCCAATTATCAACCCTCAAAATTCATTCTACTCAGGACCTACTTTGATTTTTCCATCCTATCTCTTCTCAAAATAATTAATCGGTATTCTAAAAAGGGGAGAGAGGAATTTTCTACTTGAAAAAAAAGGTCAATCAGGGGATTTTTTTTTTCGGGAAGCAAATTTTTATTCTCTGTGCAGGACGTAAAAAATACAGAGAAAAAAAATCCCAGAAAAACTGAAAAAAAAAATTGTAATCTAAATCCCAACAGACAGGTGTATTTCGAAAAATGCGAAAATCCTCCGCAGGTGAAATTGCCAAATTGACGTTGAGGATCTAATTTAATAAATAAAAAATAGACTTACGATTTGGATGACGGGATAGCCATGTTCATCTCCGATTATTTGGTGTTGTACGAGTTAAACGGTTCCGTTGCTCCCTCTCACTCACTCCTCACCTCCGGATAACACCTTGTGGCACCCTTGTGGAATGTTATCAAGCCGCACCAAACATGAAAACAAACCAAAAAAAAAAAACAAACAATCCCCCGTCCTCTGCACCCCTATTTCACAAGGCCCATTGTTCCATCTGTTTCAACTCGTTTTGTACCTATCGGAGGAAGGAGATATGAACAAATTCACCCGAGGCAGAGACCATTTTGTTAATGCCACTGGACACACACCGAGAACAGTTTCTACCTGGTGGCGGCCATTTTTAAACTACCTGTAAGCATGATCCAGTGCGCCACCCTTTACCGGACACCTTTCCTTGTCTTTCTCCAGTTTTTTTCTCCCCCTATTTTTTTTTTATTATGGAATCACAAAGCGTGACAATTTTCACGATTAATCTGCGATATTCAACTTTTAATAATTAATTAATAATTTATCACAATCTCCGGTAACTAATCATGCGGATTTGATTGAATCGTTAAATCAATTTTTTTAAGAAGAGATTGTTCTAGGTTTAAATAGACGTAAGTAGTCGACGGGATATGAAAATTGAAAAAACACTATTTTTTCGAAAGCAACAAGTTAATATTCATTGTTATAATAATTACGTGCTATGGTTTAAACTACCGATTAGTGATTTTTAATTGAATCGTTGGATTCTACCACAAATTCTCATCTGCGGTTATTCAGGGAATTTAATTATTCAGATGGAGTTAAAGGGACTTGACCAGTCTGATTTGAAAATTGAATTGACAATTGGATGTCAGTGCGGTGACGTCACGGTAATTCTATATCTTAAATTGTCGCGTGTTGGAGGTGAACCCATGATCCGGTGGGGAACGGCCGCGTCTTGGTGACATTAATCTCTAATTATTAATGAGTAATTGAATTTAATTGCGGGATATTCGGGGTTGAAATTATGGGAAGTGCCGTTCACTTGTCTGTGGCTGCTGGGATTTTGGCGACTGCGGGAAGTTTGTTCGGAAAATTGGCTGGCAGTCTGGAAATGGGATCGATGGTGAGTGGCGGGAAGAACTCATCAATTTAAATCTCCACTGAGATAAAAAAAAATCATGATATATTCATTGACTGAAAAATATGAGTTGTGGAACAATCTGACTTGGTGTAGTCCCCTAATTCTATTTTTTTTTAAAAATAATTGGGTAAAGGTAAAGTTGAAAAACCGAAAATTCCGAGGATTTAAATCGTCAATTTTTTTAGGAACAAGCACTTCTCAAGATTACTTTATTCGGAGTGATGATTCTCCTCAACACAGCTGGCTGTACATTTTTTGTAAGAAGCCTTCAAGGCTGTGGATCATCCTTGCCTTCGACGGTGGTCAGCGCGGCGACCAACTATTTCTGCTCGGTCAGTGAATTCATGAATTATCCTTTCACAGTATGAAACTTGCATGACCGTATGCATTATCCATGGCTGTGAGAAATAACTAAGAACCGGAATACATTATGACACACCTGCAGATAATCTATAACAGCATTAAAAAAAATTACCGCTCAATTAAATTTTTGGAGTTCCAATCAAAAATTGCCGGCTCAATTTTTCGGATCACTGAATAAAAATCTAAAATAATACGCGTCTGATTGAAAATCATTTAATTATTTCCAATCTATTATATTATCATAATGCTCCTTTTAATATGATATTAATATAATAATATTATGCAATTTCACGTTTTCAGTAGATTAATAAAAATTATAGAGTTCAAACGGGAAACCGCTTTTTGTTGAAAAAAAAACAGCGATTGTTATCACGCGTCGCGGGTTTATTTCTAGTCACTGATAACGGGTGATGTAATTCCAGAACTCGCCTAGACCTAGTGAAAGGCGAATGCATGAACTCCGAGGTGTCAACATTCGATTCAACTGACGATATATTTAATTGCATGAAATAACTGCGAGTTACTATAAAATATAAGATTATTTTATTGTTCTTCCATGGGAAACAGGCACTCCTGGGCTTCCTCGTATTCGGCGAGACAACTTCGATGATGTGGTGGTGTGGAACTTCATTAGTACTTCTCGGATTAATTCTGATCTGTTACTCCTCCGCTGATAGAGGAATTAAAAAAGCTGATAAGGAGAAATAATCGATTTTTATAATTTTATTGTACTTGAAATTTAATAAACTATTAATTTATTGCTATTGATCATTAATGTCATATTTTTTACTTTTGTATTTGTATTTTAAACATAGAAAGGATAGGAATAAATGAAATTAATAAAAAAATATATATGCTTGGAATTTTATTTTACTTCCCTTGAAAATACAATAAATATTATATTTTTTAAATTCAATATTATTTAAATATCTTTTTTACCCAGCGTCGTGAACCATGAAAATAAAACCGTTAATAAGGCAAATCCCCGGAGATTGGGGTGCCCACGGGAGAATAAGTGGAGTTGCATGGCAAGTGCAGGGAAGATTGGCAAAGTTAGTCGGTGTCAGAGGGTGGCGAGGGTGGTGAGGGTTGAGGGGATCGAGGGGATGATATCGAGCGGCGCTTGCGTAGGTGGTGAATTGCAACCTGGACCGTGCAACGTCTCTAACCCTCCCACCCTGTGGCAATGAGCCACCGACAAGAGTTGGCACGAGGAGTCCACCACCTAGACCCGAGGGCCCATTCTACTTCGCGCACTCGTGTCAAAACCATACGCTCCATTTTTTGAGATTCATTATTTCACAATCGAGTGCCCGTTCCCGTCCATTCAGGGTGTTTACCCATAACTGGGGAATCCCGTGATTAACTCGTTCACATTGTTATTGCTATTTTTTTTTAAGTGACGTGATGAGGTGACTGGATTGATGAGGATTTTTGGGGTAGGCCACGACGCATTCCGTCAACCGATCGTCATGTGGAATCTTCTCAACCTGTGGTAATGTTCCTTCAGAAATAATAAAATATATCCGATTAATCTCCTCCAAAAGCTCTATTTATTTTTTATTTTATACTGGCTAGCTCTCGTGTCGTGATAATTCCAAAATTAATCCAATTGTCTCGGGGTATTTGTGGAAGAATGTTGTTATTATTGGATGGGCTCGAGGAGCTGAAGGATCCACTGGTTTCGGTGGTGCACCCTCTGGCAATGTGCATTTTGTATTCAATGGATCACTTCAGATATATCTCTGAGAGACGGAAAATACAGGTCTCGGTTGAAATGGGAAGGGGTATAAATACTTGTCAATGCACCAGGTGCTGGGGATGGGGTAGTAAATCAGGATGGGGAAGACTCAGGGGAACACTTGGAGCGGTGTCCGCTCCATTAAATAAATAAGTAACGCCACACCCAATGTCATTTTATTTACTTCAACAGTTTAATTACTGAATAATTGCCAGTGAAGAATAGATTTCGTGGTACAAATGCAGGCACAAAAATATTTAATACAACAATTAAATCAAACCAACACAAGTAATACTTCACACAAAAATAAATCATAAAAATTCAACCGCTAATAAATTTAATATAAATAAAAATGCACTGTTTAAAAAATGCGAATTTTTCGCGACGAATTCTCACAATTTTTATCGCATAATTTTGGGTTTAGGAATTCCAAATTTCATCGGAAATTTTGAATAAACATTTTAACAATTTTAACAACGTGATAGCTTCAACAAAACGAAAAATCCTTTGAAATAAAAAAAAGGTTGTTTGTCAACTCGTAGGTGACCTCATTGCTTCAATAGCGCGTGAATAAAATATAATCCCCGGTAAACAAATAGCCGCAGATATGACCGCACCGGTGACTCCATATCGAGTACCTCAGGTGTCTGATGACCAGCAAACAAAACCATTCAACCCGTAAATATGAAACAAAAGTGAGACAAGAATTTTTGGCACGCGACCCCTTCCATCCCTCCCCTCAGCTGTTTACATGTTTTTTTTGGGGGGGAATCGATGAAATATGACGCAGCACAGAAAATTTATTTAGACTAAAAGAATAACAACTGCGGCGGTAAAAATTCGGGATTTTTCTTTCCGCTGCAATTCCTTCTCCAGATCGATGACACAATTCCCTTTTTTTTGACAGGCGGATTGACACCAGGAGATAATCCTAAACTCCATTCGATCGAATATGAAATATCCATTTAGTCGCTGAGATCTTTCGGATTATCGGAATACCTGCAATAAAGTATAATCGATAATTTACTCCATTTGTGTGAATAAAATCGATTGCGACAATAGGTCGTTCTTTATCCACCGATGCCTCAGAATTTTTCTACTTTTTATTAGTTTATTATTGCGAGGTGAAATTGTTTTCTATTAGACATTCTCGGGCCACGTGGCAACAGTTTTTTGTCATCAATCGTTGGAACTATTATCCATGACCGTGTATTAAGTAACAAAGTCACGGTGGTTGTATGTTCATATTGATTTCAAGGCTCTCATTAAACTTGTCTTATTTCTTGATGCACATCCAAAAAAGGAGTTGGGTGGAATTCGCCTACAAAATTTCCCCCAAAAATCTATAAATCGTTCCCATAATCCCACAAATTGTAATAACAAAACAATAATTGAATTTATATCCACTTCCTCAATAAAACTCGTGAAACGAAATTTTTCTGATTTTCTCTAGAGATCAGAAATCACGGATTGGACTGATGAATTAAACGGGACAATCTCAGGTAATGATTGGTGGAATTATTATGAATTATTTGAAATTAGGAAGTTTTTTAAATAATTTTCAGTCATTTGAAAAAATATTTTTAAAAAACCGCGTAATCATTGATGAGAGGAATAATCCCCTCGTAATTATCAGCCAGTGGACAGTATGTGGATAATAAATGAGTTGAAAATACTCGTTGATGCCTGCGGAGTGAAGTCACAAGTGTCTAACGATGATGTACACGAGGATGGAGTACGACGAACCACGCGGCTCATTGAGCGTCATATTGATTAATCGTTATCGCGGCTGCACCACGTGGACATCGACGGCAGATTCTTAACACCAAGAGGAAGACATTCTGCGTTAAATATGGGGAATGGCATGAACAAGGTGATATAACCAATTAATCATTCCCATTATCCTAATATTCTATTTTCTAAACACGACGTGTGGAAAATGAAATTTTACCGATCGCCTGCCTATTCGTTGGTGAAATCACTGGCGCCCTGAATTTAAATCACACAAATCAGTCCTGAAATCATGAAATCATATGGAATCAATAATAATTTTGTGATTATATTTGATAATTCTTTTTTATACTTGTGAACCCACCGGTCATCCAATCAATTTGTTGGAAATGTTGGAAAAATCATTTATCTTTATTCGTTAAATCCGCACTTCTGGGGAAAACCAAAGAAAGCTCTTCTCTATTTTAAATCGACGAATGGCACTTGAGAAACTCGAGATCTGACCTGGATTACCGAGTGCAGTAACCCAATTCAACAATTTTTTTTCTATCGAAACCGGAAATCTAAAACATCCACGCACGATATTTCATGATAAGAAAATTTGCGGGAATTCGCCAATTTGTTTTCTTTCCAGCCCCAATTATTTATTACCAAAATCTAATTTTCCGGATTTTTAATGAAAAATATACCGTTCTCAAAAGTTATTACTCATAAAAAAAATAAATTTCATTGTCTGAACTGCATTAATTAATTATGTTAATTATTAGTTCTATTATAGTATGAGAGATCATAAACGAAGAATTATTTATCGACTCCATTCTTTTGAATTCATATGATAATTATTAAATGAATATATAAATCAAATGGGGCAAGCCGGAAATATCGTAAGAATTTTTTATTTGTTTGTCATCAAAAATTTTCATGATGAAGAATGTAAGAGGGTGGAGGGCTCTTGTAAATTGCTTAGAGGATTTTGCCACGTACCCGAGCAACTGTTACACTCGTTTCTCGTGTATTCCTCTCTCTGACCTGATTTTTTACCACTTTTTTCGCCTCGTAAAATCTCCCTTTGTCAGACCCTCACTAGCAACACTTGTTCTGGATTTTGGTATGGAGCCCTCACTAAACAGTAGTTACTCCAGATTTTCTCGGGGTTCACCAATCCATGAATAAGAAGTTTTGCGTAAAATATTCGCGCCCTGAGGAATAAATTGACACAGAAAATAAAATAATAACGGGTTCTTAAAAATATTCAGAAATATTATTCCGTATTTTATATTTTCCGGTGGTGGTTATTAAATCCGTCGGGTGGGAAATGGTTGTTCGTAGAAATTCCCCTTGGGTTTATTTTTTTACAAACGAGAATGGATTATAAAATTCCCTCGGTACCTTCCAGGTCGATCGATCCTCAGGTGAGTGGACTTTGACATATCGATGGAAATAATAAACCGTCGTCATTCCCACGACCATTTCAATAATTGAGGTGTGCTCTTAACGCTGGTCTTATGACTCCCAATGGGTATCAAAAATAATTGGCGGCAGTCAAACCGCCCTCACTTGTGTCAACCAGAATTGACAGGTGAGACCGCAGAGGTGTCACTCTCAATTCCAAGGAACATGCATGTTTAATCATTTTGGGAGCCCCAGAGGTCTTTTTTCATTCATCCAGAGCATTCCATCTCGGATTGACCTCTGAAATACTTCCTATCATTTATAATTTCACGATATTTCTGCATAATCCATATCTACCCCTCACGTGTTGGCATTGCCAATAATTCAATGTACCAGCCCTTATCCGGTCTGGAGGTACCGGAAGTTCCTGAGCCAACGGCCACGTTTCACACTACATCCTACATCCGATCTCTGCATATATCCCCGTTCGTCCTCTATCCCATTATCGATCAAACTCACATCGATTATTTAATACAATGGACTAACGCCACTGCACAATAACTGTTTTTTTAATAAAAAATATACTGCACTAACTGGTCGTGTGAAAAATTGCATCAATAATTCTTATTACATTCAATTAAATAGATATAAATATACAGTAAATTTATATTTTAAATGATTATATTATTGTTATTGGAATAAAATTTTTTTCGACTGTTTGAGTTATTATAGGAAGAAAAAAATTGAGTGGGAAAAAATCCTGTTAAATAATTGTTTAAACAAGAATGTGTACTATTTAAACGGTTGGGATTTTGGAAGAGGGGAAAATAATTGGATGATTATTGGAAGGTGTTGCCAGGTTTGTACGTTGGGAATTACAGAGACAGCAAGGACGAGGCGCAATTGAAGGAATTCGAAATAACCCATATATTGGCAATCCACGATGCAGCCCGGCGTCTTCATTCCGTGAGTAAAAATCGTCAAGACCACCCCAAAAATATGAAAAATAAATGAATATTTGTATTTTTAGGACAAGCATTACTTGTGCATCCTGGCAGCCGATACACCCGATCAAAATTTAACTCAATACTTCTCCCTTTGCAATGATTTTATTCATGCAGCACGACTCAGGGGTGGAAACGTCCTCATACACTGGTAAACCATCAAACCAACCAATCATTTTTATTTCGTTTGCCATCGTCAACGGAAATAGTATTTCTTATTACCATATCCCTCAAGTTATTTATTCGCAGATCATATCTCGTGTTCGTTTGCATTCATTAATCCACTGGTGAAAAATTACACTCGAATCTTCAATTAATCTGAACAATTCAATTCCAACTGAATATCCGAAAATAATAATTAATAACAATAATAATTAACACATGAAATTGAATTTATTTATTATTACTCGATGAGATTGTATCGGAAATTTTGAATGGTATATAGAGTGCTACCGCCTAGTGATTTTCTTTCATAAATAATTTATCTTTATAAATAGAACAAAATGATTTATCTCAGTGAATAAAATATAAAATAAGACTGGATTTTACAGTTTGGCTGGAATGTCTAGAAGCGTGACAGTTGCTGTGGCCTATATAATGAGCATCACGAATCTCTCGTGGAAAGAGGCACTCAAGGTAGTTAGGGTAGGTCGGACTGTTGCTAATCCAAATGTTGGATTTCAACAGCAACTCCAGGACTTTGAGGCTACTCGTTTGCAGGAGGTAAAAATTCAAATATCTGGAGATTCCAGTGTCGATGCCAGAGTTCGGCGGAACGGCAAATCTTTATTATAAATTATCCACTTTAAATAAAAACAGTCGATCATCTTCAACTCAATTAGCAGTTTCACATGAACTAAATATTTTATTTTCAGTCAGTAATTAATTAATTAAATGAACAAATAATCCTCTCATGCAATAAAACAGCGAATTTCATGTACCGAATTGGAAAATTGATATTATTCAACACTTGTGAAACGAAAATTGTTAAGAATTGAAAAAGTTATGACTGATGCCGATCCCTGGCTGATACAATAAACAATGAGTCATTTCTGGGGATTTCAATATCGAGGGAATTTATAGGAGAAAATATTCGGACACATAATAAATTATTCATATTTATTTATAAGCGTTATTATTGGTTCTTATAATTTTATTTGATATCATACAAAATAAAATGAAGTGCATTTTTTTATCATCTATATTTTTCTTCTATGAGTTGCACCTCCACCAGGTGCATAATTCCTCTGAATGACGACTTGTTTGAGTGACAAAAATTGACAATGAAAAAAAAATATTTGAAATTTTTCTTCTTAAGGAACGTAAGAGGCTCAAAGAGCGTTTTCCCTCGCTGGCTTTAACTGCATCCGATGCAGAAGCATGTAGAGCCACTCTCCGGAATTACGAGACCCTGGCACTTGCACGGGAGGTTTGCGAGGGAAAATGCGCATTGGGAAGACAGTGTCCCACAGGGTTGTGTAGACAGCCCTCCAAAAGGTAAAAATAAAATGTCATGAAAATTAATGAGATAATAGCGTCGGGAAGTCCCATCTGGGAGGACCACCTCCCAGTGATTTTCCTAGATGACAGAATGCCTCAGATTAAGAATTATTTCTATTATCCATTTATTTGATTTTTTTTTTCAGTTCGTGTTAAGTTTTTTTTTCGAAACGATGTGTGTTGAAAAAAAAATTCTAAACCCCGCAGACAATTGAGGAGAAAATCATCGACGAGTAGCACCGGTAGCTCGGGATCTGGACGTACACCCCCGCAGACACCACGTCTTTTACCGTCCGCTCCACCCTCACCAGCAATGCCAAGGTCATCTAGTGTTGTTTCGGCTATTAGACCGAGAAGTGGACCAGCTGGATTTAACACTTACACAGGATCTGCGCCACCCTCACGGTATCCTAATTATTCTTCACATTATTCTTTCTATTCATTAATTTTATTTCAGCATTGATCGCCAGAAAAAACTATTTCTCTCAAACTATTTCGAGCACATGAATAAAATAATTTTACATTCGTCAGTTGAATTTTCAATTATGTTAATCCAATACGAATAATGATAATAGAAAAACTCAACACAATGTCGTGATATGGAATGATGAATTAAAAAAAAAAACTAGAATGCACTATTGTTGGCAGAGCGGTGTCGAGGGTGGATTTATCGGCGGCAGTTGCTTGTAGTAGCAGTAGCAGTAGCAGTATGAGTCTTAACACAGTAGGACGATCTGGAGCAGGAGGAAGTGGGTGGCGGGTGATGACGGGCTCGGCACCGGTCACCCCCAGGACAACACCACCAGCCTCACCCCAACACTGGCCACGTCGCACATCCCGTCAAACCCCCCAGCTACCAACTCAACCTGAATCAACATCCTCTCTCTCATAGCACCACACTTATCCTTATTATTTCTCATAAAATCACCCTCACACTCAATCTCAAATAATTTATTTCACTTTTTTAAACTTTAATCCTTCAATTCAACAGAGAATTTATCCAACGAATTTCTCGACGTGTTTATTCAATATTTTGTCGACAATCGTCATCAATTAACTATTAAATATTTATTTTTGTTTATTTACTCAGTAAAAAGAGGGACGGGGTAAGTGAGATAATTGATATAATGTAAATGGATCAATCGATTTTCAACGAAAGTGTAAAATTGGAAATACCTATCAATCGTCAAATGAATTTTACTCATTTGTTTATCTTCGTTTACCATTTCGCTACTGAATTATCGTAAAAATAATTCACAAATACCGAAGAGAAAAATAATCCGCTTTTCAATACACGACCGTCCAAATGATTGTTGGTTTATTGAAAGAGAGCAGTAGAAGTATTACCGCCAAGTTGTTACACCCGAGTCCTAGGAAATAAAACATTAAAGGGGTTTGTAGAAATTTTATAACTGTTGAAAAGAAAAACCTGCAAATACTGTACATACGATTAATTAATAAGTATCTCGCTGCATTATATTATTATTGCGCAATAGCACTCAGCACTGTGCGTTACCCGAAAGGAATAAATACATTTTGATTAATAGACAAAGTACTTGTAGCCAATACCTAGAGAAGAGGGGAATGCGGGGTAATACGGGCTTATTCAATTGCTGAATACTTAATTAAACAATTTATTTTTAAATGGAGAAAAAATTTGAGAATTAGGAATGAAACAGTTTTTAATGCGTGTCTATATTACCCCATCATCCCCTATATATTTTCTACTTTCTCGAGTACTGGGGGTGCACACGGGGAAAAATATTCAATAATAATTACTAACTAAAATTTACGTGGAATTTTTATTGAATATTTCTCACCGCGCATGAAATTTATCGGAACGAAAGAATTGAGTTACATATTTGCGGCACATTTAATCTCAAGCACTCGTAATTACCATCGATTATCATTTCGATTAATTGAATATGACCCGAGGTACTTGCGATCCCTCTGTAAGCCGTACTGTATAGAGCTCCTATTAATATAGAGGCATGAATCGATAGTAAATCGTGTCAAGCTTGAGGAATAGTTCGGCTCGAAACAGAATGTATTAATTGTAACAATGTTATTAACATATTTGAGTCACTCGATGTGCGGGCGTTGGTTTTCACGTAATGATCCTAGGGGAATTGTTGAATATAGTGATGTAGTATTTGATTAATTTTACCATGCGTTGAAAAATTATCGGGTGTTTTGTATTCGCGGAACTGGGAGTGGAGACGAGTGATTAAACATTAATTCGTTGATCTCTTTATTGGATTAGGGATTAGGATGTAATGAGTAATCAGAGGAGCATTAAGCTTATGTCGATGAGGAGACCGTCATCATCATTCATTCTTCGGCATTTATTTTCAACATTTAGAATCATTATAAACATCAGATGTTTTTATTTGAGGAACTCGTCAGTTTTAATTGTCGAGGATTGACTGATTGTTGTCGCCTCAAACAAATCCATCGAGTTTAATATTTTTTTGTGGAAATCGAAAGTGTTCAAAACGTTGGGATCACTCATTAAGAGGTCTTGAGGAAAAAAATAATTGTCACGCAAAAATAGAATGACAAATTCTATAAAATTGGTGGTAAAATTGTTAAAATCCCTCATTGGATATTTTTTATTTCACACCCAAGACCTCTTAACGTAAAACCACTGTGCAATATCATAAAGGCTGTGTATTGTAAGATCCTCAAACCTCAGTTGATCCAATTAAATTGGATCGTATCTGGTTTGAGACAATAGATTAATAAACTACGCGAAGTCGATTGAAGCAGATGTAATTAATATTTTTGATACATCTGAATGGTTCTGTGATGTGCAGTGATCATATCATATCATTCACTAGATCTTCATGTATGTACCAGTGCAAAAACTCTCACGACATATCAGATATCGATTTAAACGGATAAATTGAAATCATTACGAGTCAATAATTGGGACTGGAAACTCGAGAAAATAGTTAGGGAGATGGTGCCGCCTCGAGAGAGTATTTCAACAGTGTTATTTATTCGACAGGAACAATTGCTATTGTTATCAATTAATAATTAATATGCTGTGGTTTTTTGAGCCCTGCGTTGAGCAATTGCTTGTAGAAACGAGTCAATTGATTTTTTTTTCCGAATTGAAGTAACGAGATGCAGTGGTTTATTGACAGGCCGAGAGGAGAGATTAATATTTTTCAATGTCTCAGTGCATATTGAGAGACATAACAAACAATGTCATATTTTTCCATGATATCATGTGGGGGATTCGTTACAAATGTATCGTACATATTTTTTAAGCAATGAAACCATGTATCAAGCTTATGTTCTAACAATGAAAAAAAAAAACTGTTGTGGAAAATTGTTCCATTGTTCTGTTTGCATTTATGCTGGATCATGTATTTTCATAAATATGAGGAGATATTTAAATGCCTGGAAAGAATAAAAACTGTTTATTTCTCTTTCATCCATGTGCAGATTTTATTTTTACTCTGACCCGTTGAAAATGCTTTGAATTTTATGTACATGAACAATTACAATTATTTCAACTAACAGACGGAAAAATTCTTGATTGGAATGCATTAAAGAGTGAATTATCATTGAGTTGAAATAGTTTTTTTAATTATTTTGTTGAGCTCAAGGTTGTGCCAGTCCAGGGATATGTTGTCCAGGTGATTGTCGAAATCGATCAACTGCCGGTATCGCTCTTCCCTCAGGAGGGACTCGATGGCTCCAGCTATGGCTTCTCCATCATCGTAAGCAATGCTGGAATTATATTTTTATAGGAATCCTGCAAGATTATAATTTTTAACGATCCTAATTACTTACTCTGCTTTATCCTGGATCTTCCACACTCCGTCCTGGTACTGCGAGATTCGAAGGAGATTTGTGCCCATATTATGAGTGAACTCTCTGTTATCTACCTATTATCACAAAATCCCAATTACTCGAAATTAAAGACCGCTCAATTAAATATTTCCATTCAATTATGATTAACCGAATCACTTGTAAAAAGTAAATCTACAAAAATGATTACCACAGCCATCACTGCATTTCCAAAATTATCAGCAATTTTATCAGCTATCCTGTGCCCAGGTTTCTCCGTACTGAAATCATACAAATTCCTCAACAAAATCCATAAAAATCAAATTCTCTGAGAAATCTAAAGAAATAAAACAACATTTACCACATGTCGTTGAGAAGTTCATTAGCCAAATAATAGCCAGCGATGTCCATTCCATTCTCCATGGCAAATTGATCGACCTGATAAATAAATACTTTGAGGTTAGAAACGTGAACAAATAATACATACATAAAATAAACTGCATGCGGCAGGAATTATGAAGAGAACAATTAAATTCATTCACCAAACCCAACGCTATTTCTGACATGGGCGAGACATGGAGACACTGATGAAATAATGGAATAGCATCTTCTATATGTACATCACTGGATTTGCCCTCCCCCTTTTTATGTTTAGCCAGAAGTAATCCATTTATGGCGCAATGTGGATATTTAGCTGCGTGTAGAACAATTTTGCAATAAGCTTTGGGTGAAAACGATATTTTAGCCATTTTTGTTTAAAAACACTCAGTAATCCAGACTCGGGGGTATTTAACACGTCATATGGTGGACGTTAATGGGCACGAGCGAAGGGGAGGGGAGGAGGTTGCCAAGACAACCAGTCAGCTGATTTCCACATACAATTTCAGAATTCAGGGCCTTTAAATAGGCAAGACATGTTTTTGCATGTAATTTAGTTCAAGTTTTTATTATTCATTGGAAGAATTCCTCCAGTAATTACAATGGCTCGTGATTCTGATGCAGAATCCGACGTTGACATGAACGATATGACGAAAATGGTCGGGGATTTGAAAAATTTAGAGAGTGATTTATTCGCATCGACAAGAAATCCAAAAACGGGGGAAACTAGAAATCGAGTGAAAGATACTACGAAAAAAGTGGCATTCGAAGATTCTGATGATGACCTGGACGATCTCCTTAGCGAAGGAAAGGACTCAGTGCAAAATACGAAATTCCTTTCGAGTGATTTAAAGTCGAGCAAAGTCGCTGCTTTATTCAGGATCGGGACATCGGAGTCCAAAGGAGTCCCGATCAATGCTCCAACGTTACCAGAATCGATGGGTTCATTAAAACCTGTTCAGAAGGATCTTCCCCTGGAAAAACGTTCGTTGGTAGAGAAAACAAGTGGGAATGACCCACAGAAGGCATTAGAACCCTTCGAGACCTCCAGGAACGAAATTTCAACAATTAAAGTACCTGACCGGGTGAAAAAATCATTATTCATGGAAGATTTGATTGGCTTGAAGCCTCGGGCGAGTTCTCTCAAAGACGTATCTAAGAGTCCCCCTAAAAGAATCACCGAAACACCTGAAAAATCATCCGAATCAATGCCAAATCTCGTGGGGAAAGATCAATTGGAAAAATCAGGCTCCAGTGGATTTACTCTAACTGCTTCCAGCTCCAGAGAGCCTAGAAGAGGTCGAGGCAAATCCACTGCTCTTAATGATCCTCTCGGATTCTGGGCATCCTCTGCACTCCAGGAGCCACAAATTCCAGATCAAAAATCAGAAGTACTAGAGAGAAAATCTCAGAATTCTGAGCCTCCGGACGACTTACCAGAGTGGCTGGGTGGTACCAGGAAAACCGATAAATCCGAAGTAAAAGCCCAGGACTTACCAGCAGCAGTGAAAATTCCTCAACAAGGTCTCATAGCTCAATCGGAGATCAAAACACTTCCCCATCCTGAAGTCTCTCAATTAATTGAAGTGCAATTGGAGCAACAGGCAGCACTAATTACCCTCCAGCAACAGGAGCACGAGCTTCGAGCTGCCACAGTTTTGTCTCAACAATCTGAACACTTGCACAGTGTAATCAGTCGACAGCAGAATCAGTTGAACGAGCAGGAGAAGATGTTTAATATCCTGGTGAAGAAACAGGCGGACAGACAGGCGGCACTGGATATGGAAATTAAAATGCAGCAAGCGAAAATCGATCACTACATTCAGGTGATCAATATTAGGCCCTTCTCCTAAATTTCTATTCACTTCAAATGCAAAATTATTTAATCCCATATTTGCCCATTTGTGGGATTCATTACAAATCATTCATCTGTAAAATTAATTCATTTACTCAGGCACTCGCAAAGTCGCCGGTGGATTCATTACCAACTTTTCAATCAGAATACCAAGAATTTGGTGTAACAGAAAAAAATAAATTGAGAGAAGATGCTGCCATGGAGTCGGATGGTTTAATAAATAAATTAGAGATTGACAAGCAGAATGTGGAAAATATCGTCATGGTATTAAAGGAGAAACATGAGAGGGAAATTAAAATTCTCGAGGATTCACACGAGTAATCAATGCATTAACTCATATCTGGGTATCATACATCAATAATTTATTGGTTTTTATGGTTGTTATGGTTTTGGTTGCAGAACACAGATGCATTTCATGCGCTCGTCAATGGAGAGGCTCGAGACAAAATTGCGAGAAGATACTGAAACATTGGAGAAATATTATGAAAATAAAATAGAAAAAATAGGAGATGAGAAGAATCAGATGGAGGAATTACTGAGAGAGCAGATTCGTGATCTCAAGGCAATTCACTACTAAATTAATCGATCATAAATATTACACTCTTTGATAGAAGCAATTGTCGAATAATTAATGTGATTCAATGATTTATTTTTTTTTTTTCAGGAAGAACAGAAAGAAATCATTAACGAAATGCATGCAAGACACAAAGACCAAATAGCTCTACTCCAGAAGGAGCATTCAGAGACAATAGAAAATATATCTCGTGCCAAACAGTTGGAGCGACAAGCTGTCGACTTTATGGAATCCAACAGAACTAATCTAGAAAAAATACTGAATAATTCCAAAGAGATATTCGATAATTTTCAGAACATTTCAGATCAAGTGAGCTCCAAAGAGACTGATCTCATCACTAAAAAAGAGCGGGATTTAATAAATCAAGAAGAACAATTACGAGGTGATCAACAGATAAATAAACTAGTGGATGTTAAATTCATTAGATTATTAATTTTGAGTTAATTTTCTACAGTACTCAGAGAACAACTGAATTCTCAGCAAGAGTTATTGGAGAACGAGAGGAAGGAATTAATGATTGCAACCCATAATTTGAAGTCTGAAACTAGCCAGTTATCTCTTCAGATCCAAAAAAATACTGAATTGTATAATGACACTGAAACGAGATTGAGGATGAAGGAGCAGGCGCTTATTAAGGAAAGGGAGTGGTTTCAGGAGCAAAATAAATGGGAACGAGATCATCTCCAGGTGGAAATTTACAAAAATAAATTATTCATAGGGTTAAACTCTGGAAAGAATGATAAAAATTGCATACATTTTAAAAATCACATATGCACACATTTTATAAATGAATATATTAATGACACAAGTATTCTTTTAAATATCTTTAGTATTTGAAAGAAACTTGGATAACAGAGCAGAAGAGACAAATGCAGCAATTGGCAGCTGAGAGGGAAGCAGCAGCTGCTGAAAAAGCTAGGCTCGAAGTTTTAACTTATCTCAAAGGAAATTCCGACGATGTTACGAGATCAGAAGTAATTTCTCACATTCAGTGCCAATTTTTCATCTTTTGATTTATTTATATTTTTGGTTGATAGCTAGAGGCAGCTATTAAAGCAGCACATGAAGCTACTCATTCAGCGAATCTCGAAAGAAAAAAATGGCAAGAGCGGATTAAAGCCTACGAGGCTGATCGGGAGAGGATTTTAGTTAAGGAAAGACATTTAACAGAGAAAGCTAAAGAATTGGAAGATCTTACTCAGGTGAATTTTTAAAATATTTCAGATGTTTTTCTGTACAACTATTGGCATAAAATAACAGATTGTTATTCATTTTTCTCATCCAGTCGGCGGTATTAAAACGTGAAGAAGGCATGAGAGCCCTGAGAGAAGCCCAACGACTAGAAAAACAACATAATGATCGCACGAGGCAGTTAGAGATGCAATTGGAATTATTGGCTCAACGAGAGAATAAAATAGCGACTGAAAAACTTTCTTTAGCGAGGTAAAAATATGAAAAAATTTAACATATGTTTCAAATCAATGAGAAATCTTTTTATTCTAAAGGGAAAAATTGACAGTGAAAATTCACCAAGAGAAACCAGAAAAAGACTTGACTAATAACTCATTCCACAGTCAAAAGTACCAGCCTTATTACATGTCCCAAATGCAGACACATTTTCGGGTAATATTCTCAATAAATATATCTACAAAGCATAAATTAAACTACCTTAATGAAGATAACGAGTACTAATGATTTTCTTAATGCTCTAGGACGTCGTGGACCCTCAACTTTTACTTCTCAAATTAAATCTAGACAATAAACTAGACACATCGAATCAATTGATAAGTGATATGCAGACGCTAGGCTAATAAAATAATTTTTTATATTAATTGAATACGAATATCAGTCTAGAGTAATGTAAGGGACGTATCGAACTGTTGTTCCTCTTCTGAAACAGATACATTTATGTAAACTATCTAATCTAGTCACTGCCAGTAGTTGATTTGTGTAATGAGAGACGAAAATACTTCTGATTTATACGTTTGATTTTAATTACGCACTTGATTAACCTAGCAGATCGAGAAAATGGAAATTTCATTTGATCTGATGTTTGTTTACACTCTATATAATCGACAGCCAGAAGTATTTCCTCTCTTCCGTCGAAATTCTACATATATTATCAATTACCTCGACCATTCCCCGAGGTGATATACCCAGAGAGGACAGGAATGCTTTCTATTACAGTTTGTACTGCTGCCACTTTGTTATTCACTTTTACAACTTCCTTCTTCGAATTCTCATTCGAATTTTGCTGTGAATAATTTATGGAGAGAATTAT